AGGAAACGAAATAAGGAAATAAAGCTGCAGGACGCGTCTTCATTCTACTAGACTGACCTACGGTCCGTAAGTTGATCAACGGTCTGTAGGTCCCTTTCGTGGCTCAGGACTTAAGGCAATTTTTCTTTCTTCAAAATCTGCAAAATCTCTGTCGCAATTGACGATTCAACAGTACGGACCGTAAGTCTATCTACGATCTGTAACTCTTCTCTGTAACGCCACACTTAGATTTTTTCAACATCAGGTACTGGAACCAATCACTGAATGATTTGACGGAGCAACAATACGGTCCGTAGATCAATCTACGGTCCGTAACGTGGTTCCACACTTGGTCAAGAATTCCCTGATCTTCAGCAATGTCGTTCCTTCCCTTCTACGACTATCATCTACGGGGCGTAACTGGACCTACGGTCTGTAAGTTGCCTCCGTAGATGCCCTTTTCTGCACTTCTTTCAGTTGTGTCTTCAAGTTTCCGCGCCTGAACCTATTCCGTGCAAACATGAGAAAAACACATATAAACTAATACAAAATAGCCCTAGACGTGACAATTCTCAAGTGAAATGTATCAAAAATACCGTAAACTCACGGTACATCAACACCCTCAACTTAAAATCGTTGTTTGTCCTCAAGCGACGCACTAAGACTCTAAACGACACTTGTATAGAAGCAAGCAATTTAAGCACAAGCAATCACATGGCTCTCTATCCTAACTCTCTTTTCGGGTGCAAAATCAGTTCTCTTAGACTCAACAAGCTAATTTGTGCGGATCAAAATATGACACAGATCGATCAATCAACTCCCATATACATTGTTCTACTATCACCAAGGTACCAACTTTCCAACGAATGTCACCAGTGCCCTTACTTCAAACGAAATCCCTTTTTACACACAATAAATATGATTTTAAGTACAAGGATTCATTCAACACTCACGCTTAGAAGTAACTTCAATTACAAGTAGTGCTCAATACCATAGGCTTGCCCTTATTTTCACTGTTTAGACTCTCCAACTAGG